GCAAAATTAATTTTTAAATAACCAACATTCCTGTACAAGGCAACTCAAAACATATACATATATAAAAAAATTAACTTAGTGTAAAAAAAATTCATCACTGTCATGTTGTTTGGAGGGAAAGTTTATAGGCTCTGAAAAATTGGAGGTTACAAATGTGACGTCCCAAATTTTTGGAACATCAAGGGAAATTAAACAAACAAAATGACTTAATAAATCAAAAAGTTGACATCTTAATAGGACATTCTAACTCTCGTACATAACCAAAGGTTCAAATAATATTAAATAAAAACTTAAAATTATCCAAATATAATATCAAATGAAATTATAAAGTCCTTAATAGCTAATACATAAGATAATAAAAGTTAATTGACTCTAGTCATGGTTTCAAGTCAGCCAAGACTCTATGTTAGCGTCAACTCCATTTCAGGTTCAATTATTTCCTCGCCAAAACCTGGCATAAGATTCCAGGGCAACAAAAATATATGCCATGAGTTTTGCAACACAGTAAGAAAAACATAACCTACCTACCATTCTTTTTAAGAGAAAAATAATGAGATTATAAACATGATATAACAATATAATTATGAACATAAATTACAACCATTAAAATAATTTCAAGAATTTTAATAAATTAGGTAACACTCGAAATGTCACCGAAGAGATTTAACCTACCAACCACTAAGCATGACAACGGTTAATTTGAAACTCTCCATTGGTCAAATATTCAAGTGTTACCAACCGTAACTACCAAGGATGTCCACGTCTAGAGTTATATACCCAAGTAGTGGCATCCGTGGTCTGCCCTAAGGAAATGGTCTGCCAGGGATATGTAACCTCCCTGTGTGCCACCTACACATCCACCCTTATTCCAAAACCGAATACCGAAAAGAGTTTAAATAAGTCTTGTGCATCTTAGCGTTTCGCGACACTATTTACGTGAGAATTCTCAAAACCAGGACTCATCCTGAACAATCGGTATTAACCGTCAACCCTTAATTTCATACACTCTTTAAAATCAGGACTCACCCTGAACAACTGGTATTAACTGTCAATTGTTAACTTTGTATATGCCGTTAATCATTTCAGTTAGTTTTGATATTAATCACAAACAACTCCAATTTTTAATTACAAGTAATGTTATACTAATTCGTTAAAATTCCTAACATAAAATATTACACATGTCACACAATAATAAATAATTGTACAAAATTTAAATAAACAATTTATTTAAACCATGGTATGAAATAATAATTTAGATACCAAATAAATAAATAAATTATAATTATACACATGCATGGATTTTTAATCTACAAGATGAGACTAGCACAATATTAAATTTTTAGTCCAAATAAACAATTGAAGAAATAATTTTTGATTCCTCCTTAATCTGCCAGAATTTTCAGAATGCATATCTCGCAATTAAAATTATAAATAAATTACTTATACAACTCTAAAATGTAAGAATTTTTCCTAAATATGGCCTAATGTAACTTATGCATGATTATACTAGATTCATCTCATTAAATAAGATACATGTACATCAATTAGATTGTGATTAATCATTAATGAATGCACCTATATATACATAATGTATAGAAGACTAATGGAGATAATGTCAATGTATTGAATGTGATAGATTCATTATGAATGAATCTTAAAGATGCATTATGTATCTATTATGAATATATGAGATACATTAATCTATCTAATGAATTCATTGATATAGAAGATGCATTATGTATCATGAATGTATAAAATACATTAATCTATTTAATGAAATTCATTAAATGAATGGATTCTTTGATGGGAAGAATACTAGTATAAATAGTATAAGGTCCCAAACCACACTCTCCATCAAAACTCAAGTTGTCACCACAAGAAGGCTCCCATCGCCTAGAGAGAGAGAAGTGATTTGAAGATCTTAGACAAGTAAAGAACTTAAAGATCAAGATCTTCTATTCAAGATTTCTCTTTCTTACAAGAGGATTTCATACTATCATGGATCAACGTATGTATTCACTTATTTTGTATAGTAGAAATTCATGTAGTTTTCATGTATAGAATTGAATCTTTAATGGTTTTTAATTTATGTTCCGCAAAGTTTTCTATCATAAAATTCATATAAATCTACAGAATACTCAATAAACATGTTATGGTCATTTTTCAGAAAGCATTTTCCAAAAATAGATTATAAATAATTCTGAAAATTTTCAAGAAAGTTTATGACACAGATTTATCACATTTTCTTAAATTAATTTCATACTTAAATTTATACATCAATTCCATAATCAAAAAATTTATTATGAAACTAGATTTCTCAAATTTCATTTTTTGTTTAGAAATTACCAGATTTGGTTTAATATAAAATTTTTAATGATTTTTCAAACACATAGTAAAATCTACCTATAGCTCCAGATTTGGTTAAAAATCTGTATAAATTCGTACAAAACTCAATAATTGTTAAAAAATTTCATGGATGAAATAGACATTATTATAAACAACTTTGTAGAAGAAATCACCTCAAAATTTTGAGTATAAAATTGTCTAAAAATTTGTACAAATGTTCTGGCAGATTAAAGGGCCTAATAAAACCTTCAATCCTCTTTTTAATGGTATAAGCTAAACATGCAAGCCTATTTCCACAATAATACCATGACTTTAAGACTATCAATATCTTCAAATATTTGATATACACATCAAAAAATTTATATACATATAAAAAAATTTATCTATAAATTTAGTCATTTTATCATATGAATATAATCTGAAAATTTTAACAATTAAAAAAAATGAGAGGGTTGAGAGGGTTTTCTTCCTTAGTTATAGGATTGAAATGGAATTATGAAATGGTAGAAAATATATATCCTTTTTAATCTCCTCTTCCTCTTATTCTCCTACTCAACTTGGCTGAATTTTGTTTTTTTTTTTTTTCCCGCAAATGCCCTTTTCTTTTTCCTCCTTCACCAAATGCAAGCATGCATGTATATATATACAATGCATTACTGAGCGCCCCCCCTCTCTCTCTCTCTCTTTCTTTCTTTCTTTCTCTTTCTCTTCATTGTATGTAGTCAAATCTTCAATTTCCCAAGGCTATATTTTATACCACCATGCATGCAACTAAGTGGCAATGTTGCCACTTGAAATCTGCCGTTTTTTTTTTTAAGTGTATTTGTGTGGGTTTTTAAAATTTGATACACTAAGATTTTTAACTAAGCTATTTAGTAAGAATAATTATCATGTTGGATCATTATTAAAATAATTTATAAACAACAAATATTGAACACCCACAAAATTATTATTATTATTTATTTATTTTTATTTATAATATATTTGTTAGTGATTGAATTGGGTTAATTTAAAACTAACCTATACACTAATATATTTTAGATAAACTCTAAATAAAATAAATTTAATTAATTAATTAATTAATTAATTATTATTATTTTTAGAATAATTAAATATTGGTTTTCACAACAAAGGTGTGTATTGTTTTATAAGGAATGAGAAGGGTATTTTTAAAATTTCTGTGTTTATTGTTGCTAATGCTACTCTTTTTGGTTACTTTTGTAATGTGTTTCTAACAGAAGAGGGAATCTGGCTATTATTTTTAAAAACAAGGGAAGTTTGTGTAATTTTTGAAACTATAGGAAAGTTATTTATAATTAAGGTATACCTTAGGGGAGATAACCCTAATTTTTATATTAATTGTTTTAACTTTAATAGAAAATGAAAAGCAAAAGACTACGAGGAATATGTAGTCTCGTTTGGCAAGTGATGATTTTAGTTAAAAAGTTAAAAAGTCACTAAACAAAACAAAAAGTCAACAACCTATATCAAAAAGTCAAAAATTATCTTTTTTCTCTGCTTTTTACACATTTTTTCATAAAAAATTAAAAAGTTATCCCAAACATACTAATTTTTTTTACATAATATTTTAGCCAAAAAGTTAAAAAGTTACTAAAAAGCTTATTCTCAAACGAGGCCTAAAAGGTTCGTTTGTTTTCAGAAATAGAATGGAATAGATTGATAGTGAAGGGATTAATAATGAGGGGATTAGTAAAATTTTGTTTGTTTGATATAGTTGTTAGTGTAAGGATTATTAAATTAAATAAATATAAAAAAACAAAACAAATTAAATTATGATTTTTAATTAACCAAAAAAAAAATTAAACGTTAATGTTAAAAAAAAAAATGCCCACCATGTAAAAAAAAAAAATTACAATTGACTGGCCAGACGTAAGTCCGGCTGGACGACTGGTAACACCCTAAACCGAACAAATTATTTTCTAATATCATCTTCTCGTCGAGACTAACAATATTCTCGCCAAGGTCTATCGTAATCCGAAGGGGATATGAATCCGAAGATCCAAAACCAAAACAAACATGAGGCATCTTCGCTGTTCATCATTCATAGTTCACTTTGGACTGTGATAGAGGAAAACAAACAAGCCCTAAGAGGAATATGTAGTATTATTAGAGCGTTTCCAACCACTTTGATAAAAGGGGTTCATTTTTTCTATTATAATGTTTGTATCAAATCCATATCAAATGAGGAGAAAACCAAAAATTTTATTAAATAAATGGATGCCTTTCATCTTTTATCAAATTTAAATTATTATCGTTAGGTCAGACATCCTCTCAGATATCTATCCAAGAACAAAAATTTGATCAAATTTTTTGTTAATGTCCAGCCGACCTCCAGGACATTTGTCTGAATGTCTTCCTGAGACGAATAACTACGAATGTAAAAAAATTTTAATTCAACGTTAAAATGAACGATATCATATTAAACTTGCTATCAAATTTAATAAATTTTTTGATTTAAATAGATGCACTTACGTTACATCTGATTAAAAAATTTAAAAAGAAAAAAAATATATATATATATTTACATTTCACAAAATTTTACACATTTCTATCTCCCTTTTCAAATTACTTTCCAAATCACTAACCAAATACAACGGCAGTTGTGCGATTATTAGCTAATTTTCCGAGTTAAAAGTAGGCCAAATAGTAAACAAGTGATAGAGAGTGGGGGCCTGGCGGACTCTCCCGACTCCAAATCAAATATCAAAGATGGAAGAAGTTCCTCCTCCAGTGTCTTCGTCTCGACCTCCACCTCAGCCTCCAAAAGAATCGCTTGTTCAACGCTACAAAGTCGCTTGGCGTCTTCTTCTCATTTCAAATCTTGCCCTTGGAGGTCTCTCTCTCTCTCTCTCTCTCTCTCTCTATATATATATATATATATACACACATATACATATACATGATGATGAAAGCCCCCTGTTTGAAATGCAATATGGGTTGTTGATTCTTAAAATGTTGGTTTGAAATCAACTTGGGTTTTTTATTATTTTTATTTTTTGAAGTTAGATGGTGTGTGCAATTTGGTGTATTATGTGCTTACGTATTGATTGGTCTATGGGGTTTTAGTTTGTTTTAGGATTGGTGATGAGGGCATAGAGTTATGATGAAATACAACATAGTGAGCTTCTGGGTCTAGGCTATTAGTTGAGGTTATATATCAAATTTCCATTATCTTCATTGTTCTGCAGAATTTGCCTAGTATGATCTGCTAGTTATTTCATTGAGAGTGCATCATCAATTTTATGTATATATGAAGAGGGTACTTGTTGTTTGTCAGATTGAAGAAGTTACAATTGCTAACCACAAATGAGGTTGTTAATACTGTTTCTGAGATCTACATTTCCAAAAGAGTAAATAGAGGACATACTTATGAGTTATGTGTGTGTGAGAGAGAGATTGTTTGCCAAGAAGTAATTCTAGTTTATGAAGAGTTCTAGTAAACATTTCTGTTAAATGAGAAGTTGGAGAGCTATAATTTTTATTAGTTCTCAGAAGAGGATCACAAGCTGTTGATAGCTTGTTTTGGGCTACCGTAAATGTAATTACATGAAGCCTTTGTTTTGAGTGATTTTCAGGTTTTTCTTTGGCAAATTCTTGGAACCAGATTTGCTACATCTATGAAATTGTGGCTTCTTCTATCTTAGAACTATGTATTTGTTAAGCTTTGTGTTGTCATATTTTTCTTTATCTTTATTTTTTATTTTTTGCTTTTGGTGTGGTAGGAGTTAGTTGGTGCAAAGGAATATGATTCCCAGCTAAGGAAGCATTTTCCTTTTAAAAGGTGAAATCCTTCTAAATAATAGTCACATATGTTTTTCTTATATTTTGGGTCTGCATTTTGGTGCTTTGTGCTCAATTAGGACTGTGTATTTGTTAAGTTTTGTGTCGTCATTTTATTTGTTTATTTATTATTATTATTATTTTTAAATCAAGTAAAAAAGTGCCTAAACGAATATGTTTTTTTGGGGGTGACAATATGAGGCGGGGTGGGCATTGGATCAGTAGTTATATAATTGTCAGGATGCCCTAAAACATTAGGAGCATAGAAAATCCAAATAGAAAAAAAGATAGCAAAGCTTTTCTCCGTGTGTGTGTGTGTGTGTCTTGGCATCGTAACGTTGGTGGAAAGGAATATGATTCCCAGATAAGGAAAGCATTCTCCTCTCAAAAGGTGAAATCCTTAAAAATTTGTTAAGTATCATGTTTTTCTTGTGTTTTGGATCTTGATTTTGGTGTTTCGTGCAAATTTGTCAAGTATCATGTTTTTCTTGTATTTTGAATCTTGATTTTGGTGTTTTGTGCTCATTTAGGTATCATAGATTCATAGGTGCAGAGGAATAGGGAAGTGAATGATAGATATATCAACTCTGTGAATCCTTTTATATAGGTCTGCAAGATTCTAAACAGAATCTTGTTTTTAAGTGAGTTACAAGGAATTAGGATGCTTTATCCATGCTTGATAACAAACTCTGGGCTGCCTAAAGATGCTTCTTATCATCCATACAGTTTGAGGAAGTCATCTTCTGTCAGTTCCTTTGATTTGGCCAACTTTGGGTGCAAGGTTCTACAAAGTGGTAGCTAGTAAGTGATGGATAGAAGTTGTTGTGTGCAAAGTAACACTCAATATTTAATTTGAAAGTCTTGATTTTGTTAGGTTAGGCACAGAGTCATGGGCAGCTTTAAGCTCTAATTTTTTGTCACTGTTGTTCAAACAACCATTTGGTAGTTAAAGTTCCTGGACAGAAGGTTCAACTCATCATATGCAGTATTTTTCACTATCAAAACTATTTTTAAAGAGATCTACGTATTTGATACTACAACTACAAAGTATAATCACATTGTTTTGACCTGCAATCCATGTTACTGCTTGCTACCAATTCAAGGAGTGCCTATATTTATTCTAATGTTGCTTTATTGCTGTTAAAATGCTTCATCTGTTGGGCATGCCATACAATGGCTTGACTAAATTGTCTAAAAAATTCTATTGTCAAAGTTGCATTGTTCATGTAACTACCTTGCAGCCGCTCACAATGCTTGAACATATGAACTTTTTTTTTAATGCTAGTTTACTTCAATAATCCCCTAGGACCTTGCTAATGTGAAGTTCGGTCTGATGAGACCACACTATCTAGAGGTTTGGGTAATGTGTGTTATGGAGCTAGTACTTTAAATAGATTAATCCTGAGAAATACAATCCTTACCTAACAAAAGGATTACTAAGCAAAGGCCTTATTTGATTGTTCGGATTGGATATAAGGGGTTGAAGAGGATATGTAATACTTACGGATATAGGATATGATATAATATGTTTAGGATATGAGATGAATTATATACTATGGTGTCACTCATACTATATTTGGTAAGGAAAGGTTATAGCATGGGATAAGAGGAGAGTGATTATTTTTTAACCGATAGATGAATGATAACTTATATTCAGGGGTGGGGGATATGCAATACCATGGTGGGTATGGTATTGCATATCCTGTACTCTTGAAGGATATAATATACCGTCAGATTTCACGTCCAGTAACCAAACAAGGATATTAAAAAGATGGGACGCACATGTTTTTCTTGTCCCCTATATCTAGTCAGAGGGGAATGTCCACATAATCCGGGATCGCTATATGCAATACCATGGTGGGTATGGTATTGCATATCCTGTACTCTTGAAGGATATAATATACCGTCAGATTTCACGTCCAGTAACCAAACAAGGATATTAAAAAGATGGGACGCACATGTTTTTCTTGTCCCCTATATCTAGTCAGAGGGGAATGTCCACATTATATACCCCAATCAAACAGAATCTTCATTGTAATCTGAAACTGAGTTCTTTGATATATATCATCTCCTTGCAACGCTGATGACAACTGTGTCATCTTCCTGTTCTTCCTACGGTTGACATATATGAGTTATTCTCAACCTATCTTATCTGAAATGTGGATTGTTCTGGTATGTGGAGTGGGAATGGAAATGTGGTACACCACATACTCTAAATTGTAGTATGATAAGGATAGGCTTGTATAGTTTACACTATAAAAATTTAAAGTATATCTAGTTTAGAGTATTTTTTTGTTTGAAAAACATTTAGTGATCCAATAAAATGTAGATTTTTATTTTATTTTTTTTTACCAAATTAATCATATAGAAACACATTTCTATGAGCATTATGACCTATTTTTTACGTTCAGTCAACGTAAATTTGAGATCGTTACACATATATATTTTGACTTCCAAGGAAACCTCAAGGAAATATGTTAGCAAAACTTTTGGCATCACTTTGGATCGCTAAATTTACCATTTTGGAACAAAAATGTACACCATGTTTGGAATGAGCATTCCAAAATGTAATTTTTTTATGGTAATCAGCCTTTTCTGGTAACACAGCCATTCTCAATGCAAAATATTTTGGCTTTTCCAAAGGTTGGCGATTTTAATGTTGCCCTTTTTTTTTCATCAATTGTAAGGGGTGGCTCAAAGGCAGGATGAACACACAGTTAACATCAGGGAAAAAGGTTATGACAACACATAAGTGTGTTTTCTATGAATATGCTCTATTGGAAGTACACAGACTTTGATTTCAGTCCTTGCTTCATCTTTCTTCCTGGTTTTTCTGATATCTTATTTGGAGGTTACAGACTCGCACAAAATTGTGAATCCTTAAACTAAGCCTTCATTTGATGTGGTTCAGCTTATATGTTCGTGAGAGCAAGAAAGAAAGATACTACTGCTGAGGATAGCAAAGCTGCCGCCAAAGTTCCCTCCACTCCAGTTGTGACTCCAGCTACTCCTGTTCCGGAGGAACCAGCCCTCCCTCCTCCAATCGCTGTGCCTGTGAAGGTGCGCGAACCCATCCCTGAGGATCAGCAGCTTGAGCTATTCAAGTGGATATTGGAGGAAAAGAGAAAAGTGAAACCCAAGGGTCGTGAAGAGAAAAAGCGAATTGATGAAGAAAAAGCCCTTCTGAAACAGTTCATTCGAGCCAAATCCATCCCAAATATCTGATTTCTATTGTATGTTCATTGTTGTTGAATTGTCTTCTGCATGAAAAAGATTACCTGAAGCGTGTCCTTTACGCTGTGTATGGTTGGGAGATTTAAAAAGGGATTTGAAAAGAGAAAGGAAAAAGGTAGGTGATATTCACATTTCTCTTAGTTTTATATACTTTTTTACCTTTTTTTTCTTTCCAAATCTCCTAACTAAACACAGCATTACTGGTGCTCCAAGGAAGTCAGGATTATCATTTCAGTGGTTTGGGCTTTGGGTACATATTTGGATATTCTTTGCCCATCTTGGATTGTTAACCTTCTCTTATTGATACTTGTTGAAAGAAAAGGAAATGTTGCTTTGAAGAGGGGATTTTTAACCTCGGTTCATGTTAATGAGTTATACCTTTGGTGAAAATCAAGGGCTTTGCTTTCTTTTCCAGTGAATTTTCATTAACTGCATAATTTCTGAGTTCTAGTATATGATACTCACAAAACATTGCATAACTGTCACTGTGACCACCTGTGCTAAATCAAAAGCAATATTTCAGTTTTTAGATGTTGTCTTCGTTGAGGAGAGCATCACTTGTTCTCATTTTTAGTGGTTGCTGTTAGGTTAGACTACACTGCTAGTGCTCTGCAGCATTAGGCTCCAACTAGGGCTGTGTACGAATCCGACCTGAATCCAATTCAGAACTTCAAATTCATTTACAAAAAATCCGATATGGTAATCCGACAATCTGAATTCGTTTAATCCGTTTATTAAATAGATCGAATATGCAAAAATCTAATTTGATTATTCTCAATTTGAATGAACAAAACGCAAAAATGAAAAAAAAATAAAATCAAATTATATAAAATTATAGCTCAATAAATAAATAAATATATTAACAAATTGGATATCTAAAATTATTGGATTCGGATGATTTATAATCAGATATGGGTTAAACGGATTCGGTTCATATTTGGGTTTATCTTAATTGGATCAAATTCGGATTTTGACAGATTCAATCCGAATCTGATTCATTTATAGGCCTCCAATCAATTTCCAAAATGGTGATCCAATACAGGTTACTGGCACACTTTGGGTAGCTATTCTAGGCCTCCAATCAATTTCCAAAATGGTGATCCAATACAGGTTACTGGCACACTTTGGGTAGCTATTCTTTTTCTACAGTATTATTTGACAGGAGTCGTTGAAATAATTAGTTGTAAATAATGCAAGTTGCGTTTTTTTTTTTTTCTTTTATCACTCATACACATAATTTATAATTTTTAACATTAATTCATTTAAATCACAAATAATCATAAATTTTTATTTATTATAATTTTAATATACTTTTAATATAATTATATTTTAGGTCACAATTAATCCTAAATCTTTAATTATTTATTATAATTTCTAACTTTTTAATTTAATTATTTTTAAATCACAATTAATTCCAAATCTTTAACTATTTATTGTAATTTCAAACATCTTAATCTAATTTTAATTTACTTATATTTTAGATTAATCTTTAATTATTATTTATTTTATATCTCAATTTAATCATATTTAAATCAATTCTTAATTATATTTTATATTTTAGATCAATCTTTAATTATATTTTAATTTAATTAATTTTAATTAACATGTTAATAAAATTTTATGTTTGGACAAGATGGGGTGAAATTATCTTTTTGTTATGTTAATTCACTTTATTTTTTGAAAAAACTAGTCCTACTCTAAAAATGATATATGTGATACATTTTCAATGAAAATTGATCTAAAATCATAAGAAATTTTTTTGAATTATATTTAAATAACGGGTTAAAATACTCCGACCTCAAATTACAAAAGGCAAAATTGAATTTTGCCCCAAATTTTAAACCTTATTCGGATAAATTGTGATTGACAAGAGGCAATTGACAAAAGTGGGAAGAGTGAGACAAAATGGAGATTTATCTTTCAGGCACTTTGAGGTGGTTAATAGATTTGGAGCTTCACAGACCCCACCGCAGCTCTCTCATGGCCACTCACATCCACATTCTTCTTTTCCAATCCTTTCTCAGATTTTTCAGTCACACCCACAAAAAGTACACATCCCAAACAACCCCTTACCTTCCTCTTATTCAAGTTGTTATCAAACCATATTGTATTCAATTCAATCACTGGCTCTTCACTTGAAATTTCTACTTTGGTCAAATTCAATACAAAGCCCCATCTCCAATGCCAGGCACCATCCATGTTTCAGGTATAAACTACTTCCCTCCATCTATAACTGTATATATACATATATATACACACACACTTCCATTTTATTACTTTAACTTTTATATAGTTATGGCCCACAAGGACCTTCAATCTTCATCACCCACTTCATCAATTCTAATAAAGGGTAAGTAGATTTTTGCCTTTCAATTTCATATTCATTTCCTTTTTTCAAGATTTAGAATTGTTTGAACTTCAATGGGCAATTTCTGTTATATAATGCAGTTTCCATGGGGAAAAGAGAGTATCAAACTTGGGACGAAGGGGTCTTCTCTTTGTAATGATTCTGAATTTTCATGTTTAATTTGTTGCTATATTGTTCTTTAATTAGCCTTTTGGTAATAATCAAGTTCCATTTATGTTGATTAATTTTAGTACAGTCCATTGACAACCCTTCGCGACAATTTGAGTATTACACTTGAGGATACAGAGGGGAATGAAATTTCGCATAGAGGTTGAACATATTTTTTAGTCCCACAATTTTGAATCAAATTATTTATGATGTGGGTATTGTTTTTTCTTCCACAATTTGAATCAATTTGTTTCGTAAAAGTTGTTCAATCCATGTCGGTCGTGGAAAAAGGTTCTTGGGATGAGTTTCTCCCACTTGAAGGAGGGGGGCATGTGCATATGAAGTTGCAGTTTGTCCTTAGTGAAGAAGAGCGCAGCCGAATTCGTATCATGGTACCATTTCCCTTTTCTTTTCCATCTTCTTTCATTTATAGGATTTGGTTTTATGAGATAATAGAAATTATATTGTGCATAAAATTAGATATTAATTGGTTTAGTATGCTTAGAACCAATCTTATCAGTGCTTTTAAATTAGGCCAGTCAATGAAATGGCTCTCAAATAAAATATTGGAGATATCTGTGTTTAAAACCTTTTTGTGTGCTGGATAAAGAGCTAATCTTTGGAATGGAAGGATTGAGTTTTATGGTTCATGTTGAGATTATGATATAAATAATAAAGTTGCCCCTCGCACTGATAGCTTCAATTTTTTGATGAGTTGGTGATCAACAATCAAACATGGTATTAGAGCAGGATTTGATCACCACCTACCTGATAATTAAATATGCTTGCACGTGTTTGGCCCACTATGACGAAAAGCCCAGCCACACATGAGGGGACGTGTTGAGAATAATGTAAATAATAAAGTTCCCCCTCTCGCTAATAGCTTAAGCTTTTAGATGAGTTAGTGATCAGCAATTTAACAGTTCAAATGACGAAATCTTTAAATTAATTCACATATTTGCATTTTTGTTGCTGGGGTTTCTTGATTTTCCAATTCGAAGATTTTTTTGTTTTTTTTTTTTGGTAGAGAGAATCTGCAATGAAGAAGAAAAATGGTGATCTGCTCAAATCTTTGGAAACTGCTAGTACTGCTGGTGGTATTGTCTTGTCATCTTTGCGCATTAACCATGAGGTCTCAGGTTTGATCATGCTTGCTTGAATTAGTACATAAAAGATAAATGGAATGAACAAATAACTAAACAAACTTCTGGTTCCCAATAAGCCCTTACATTTCACCTTTACTGAAAAGGCCTTTTCTTGATGTTTTGAGTGCTGCGTCTTCTCAAGATTCACAAAGAAGTGTTACCCATAATGAAGCGACAAGCATTGGAAATCTAGCTGCTGAATATGCTATTGGGAACGAAGAAGAAATTGCAATTCATCAGAAACAGATCACCCCAGTTAAGGATTAACCACATTGCCTCATTAATTAACTATTTTTATTTCGTCAAAAAGTTGTTTTGAAAGACATGTTGAGCTTTTCTAACAGTCAACCAACATGTTTTAGAATGATGCAGATGGAAGTGAAGAGACTTCATCTGCAGCTTTGATGTCAAAAATGATTAATAAATTCGTTGAGAAGACTGAGACTAAGTTACGCCACGTTGATGTTCCCAAAACACCTGTTTTTTTCCAAGAAAATTCATCTGATACGAAGAAGAATTTAGTTGCATCCGAACTGAAGAATGATCAGGCTGATCAACTGGAGAAGCCGGACCTACTCGAGAGAACTCCTATCAATGTAAGGGAAATGATAAGTGCCTTTGAAAGTAGTCTAGCTAAGGTATATATATCTATTGTGATGCTTCTCCATGTACTTTTTCTTGATTTGAGACTCAAATGTGTTAATTGAAAGCAGGATACGAGGCCTGGTATTAAACCACCATTAACAAAACCACAATCTAGTAAAGTTGGATCAGAATCTCCTGAGGATCTAAATTTGAAAGAAATGACTAAACAATCCAAGCTGACTTCTGGAAGACTCAAGAATCCTTTTCTAACCAGGGAATTGCAACAAATCCAGACATATGAACTGAAAAGGAAAGAGCATATTGGTTTTGATCAAGATAGTACTGTACAAATCCAATTTAAAGAAACCGAATCAATTGCGAAGCATGAACCAAGAAAGCCACAGGAAGATTTGGTGAGAATGTCTGCGGTTGAAGCAGCTACAATTTTGGGAACCATGCGTGAGGAGCATTCAGAGTTCCACCAACCTCGTAATTTGTTGGTTAACCAGGAAGATTCTGATGGCACCTCAAATAATTCAAATGAAATTAATATTCAAGGACCTTCAGAGGATAAATTGAAATCTACTTTCTGTGAAAATCTGCATTCTTTTTATGTAAGCTCTGGTGCTTGGGTATTCCCAGATCACACAAGGCGCTTGTGTATAACAACGGGAAGCAAACAATTAATGGATTTAGTTGGAGGTTGTGGAATTGAAGAATGGACCCATAAAGTAAAGAAGAGTATTTCATTACCAGAAAATGTGGAAGAGGTATTTTTTTTACCCCTTGGCCTTTTGGTTTCTCAGTACATTAAATGAAATAGTTTCTACACAGTCTTGTTGGTTTTAAATGGCTACATAACACAAAACTAGGATTATTTGTGAATGACAATGTTATTGTTGTATTTTTGGGTTAAGTCCGACTTTATTACCAAAAGAGGAAAAATATACAACATAGCTCAAAATACGAGTCCAAAAAACAATTAGAGCGTCCACAATGGACTCATTAAGAGTCCATTTGGTGTCAGAAGCTAAACTGTTTTGACAGTGAAGAGTCATTTTGATGCTACAATGGACTTATTAGGGAGTTCATTATCTTTGTCAGATGCTATATAGTTCATTATCTGCAGCGAGCAGCTTAGTGTGTGGGGAAAAAAGAAAGAGAGAAAGGAAGGGAAGAGGTACTGTTGGGGCAGGCTGATGGTGGGACCTATTAATTTTTTGATTAGTTAGTCACTTTATACACATTCACTTTTTGTCTTATTACACACCTTAACACACATTTTTGGCGGCTCCACTGTGGACGCTCTTAGGCAAGTCAAAAACAGACCTAGCTTCGGGAATAAAGCAACTTACACAAACCCGAGAGGCTAGGCAAACTAGAAAAACCTCTCACAACCCGAGAGGAGGGACCACTGAAGTCGCAAAAAGGACACGACCACAAGGCAAAACAACTAGGAAAGCCAAAAACCAACATTAGGAGATAACCCTGTCACCTTGTTCTTGCAAAGTTTGAGATAAAATTTCTCCTGACCTTTTTTTTTTGTTTAGTGCTTTCCAGGCTGTGTTTGGATTGAGAATTTGAGTGAGGCTAAGGCATGCAATAATCCAACTGAGTAGGATAATGTTATAAATTTGAATGGTTAAGACTGAAATATAATTAGATCATCATCTTGAAAAATATATCCTGGCATGGAGGAGATGAACTTTGTTTTTATATTGGATTGAGATCAAATAATCGTTGTGTTAACATAATTACTTTTATGCAGTTTGGAAATTACACTGAGGTGAACAAAGGTAACAAGACTTCTCACGAACCAAGAAAATCAAGGCTTGAGAGTTCTGCAGAAGTTGAAACTTCTACTGGAGCAGTTGGACAGGTTACATCATATACTCTTTTTGTCTTCTTCATATTATCTGTTTCACAACGGTGGAGAAAAGTATTCCAACTTTCATTGAACCAAAAAAAAAAAAAAAAGCTGTTAAATTGCCTTTCTTTCTGTCCTTGTCTTCGCAGGCAATGAAAATTGCAATAATGGTAGCTTTTGGAACACTTGTTCTTGTTACGAGACAAAGAAAACCCAGGTCTGATTATTCTTCTCTCGTAGTATTATTGTTATTATTATTATTATTATTATTATTATTATCTTGAATTAGGACTCTATTTCTGGAAAGAAGAGAATAAGTTACTGAACTTTTTCCTTTGGCTTTACTTTTTTTATTCTCTTTAATATCCTTCAGGTTTAGTTTGAACAAATATAAAAGAAAGATTGTACTTGTGATCAGTATTGGAGGACCTTTTCCAGAAACCACATAATTTTGCAATCAAGTTAAGAATAGCGGTCGTGCAAATGACTTCATTGGAACTTGTAGAGGAAGATCAATTTGGAGAAGACTATTATTGTTTGTTATCCAAAAAACAACCTAGGGGGGGTGAAGTAGGTTTCTATAAATTAAAATTAATAATACCCCAATAAAATTAATTACTAGTACAACAAATTATTAACAAGCACAATGATGAACTTAGCAGTAAATGATCAAGCAAAATAACAATGAAGTATAACTAACATATAAGGTAAATCAAATGATTAACACATAGATATTAGATAGCTATAGCAGTAGTAGGAAAGTAAAGAGATTAGGGAAGATGAGACAAACAGATTTATAGTGGTTCGGCTTCAACCAAACCTACATCCACTCCTCAAACTTCACTTGAGATTTTTCACTATCTTCTAGCTTCACAGGGGTGCTAGTAACCTCTTTACAAATGGAGCAATCCTCTACGGATTTTACACAGACTTCACAAGTCCATACCCTTGCAAATCTTAGGTGATTCACAATCATTCTCAAGATTTTAAGAATATAGTGTTTGCAACACTTTTACAAGATGAAATGATATTTTTGCTTTCAAGGAAAACTTACAATAAATATTTATCAAAGATAGATATATAAAATGAAATTTTGATTTTTCTGTAAATCTCACACAGGAAAGATGAGCTTAATGTTATAAGGCTCAGTGTATAATTTCTGAAAATAGATGTGAGTGATTATAGATCAAAGAATATTTTGAGGTTTTTTTTTTTTTTTGTAACTTGTTTACATTAGAGGATTTGGTATATATAATGAAAATTATAGTCGTTTATAACCGTTTATTCATTTGAATTTATAGTCGTTTATAGCCGTTGTACTTCTATCATTACTAATTTGAATATCTTCTACTACATCATTACAAATTTGAATATCTTTCACTTGAACCTTTTGAACTTTTATAGTCATTTATAGCCGTTGTACTTCCATTATTACTAATTTGAATATCTTTCACTTGAACCTTTTGAACCTTTTGGCCTCCTGCTGTGTTAGGCTGTTTGAACCTTTGTTTTGGGCTGTTTGAACTCCTGATTTAATCAAATATTAAATACATTCTAACAACATTTAGGATAAAGGTTTAGGTGAGAAATAATGGGACAAAATAAATTTTGATTCTATTTTTCTCTTTCAAATAAATCATCAAAATAAATTTTGAATTTTATTTTTCTCTTTTAAATAAATTAAAACATAATTAAATAAATTATCAAAATAAATAAGTCTAATATTTAGAAAAACCTCGCACAACCCGAGAGGAGGGACCACTGAAGTTGCAAAAAGGACACAACCACAAAGCAAAACAACTAGGAAAGCCAAAAACCAACATTAGGAAATAACCCCATCACCTTGTTCTTGCAAAGTTTGAGATAAAATTTCTCCTGACCTTTTTTTTTTGTTTAGTGCTTTCCAGGCTGTGTTTGGATTGAGAATTTGAGTGGGGCTAAGGCATGCAATAATCCAACTGAGTAGGATAATGTTATAAATTTGAATGGTTAAGACTGAAATATAATTAGATCATCATCTTGAAAAATATATCCTGGCATGGAGGAGATGAACTTTGCTTTTATATTGGATTGAGATCAAATAATCGTTGTGTTAACATAATTACTTTCAGTGTAGTATGCAGTTTGGAAATTACACTGAGGTGAAGAAAGGTAGCAAGACTTCTCACGAACCTAGAAAATCAAGGCTTGAGAGTTCTGCAGAAGTTGAAACTTCTACTGGAGCAGTTGGACAGGTTACCTCATATACTCTTTTTTTCTTCTTCATATTATCTGTTTCACAACGGTGGAGAAGAAAAGTATTCCAACTTTCATTGAACCAAAAAAAAAAAAAAAAGCTGTTAAATTGTTATTCTTTCTGTCCTTTTCTTTGCAGGCAATGAAAATTGCAATAATGGTAGCTTTTGGAACACTTGTTCTTGTTACGAGACAGAAAAAACCCAGGTCTGATTATTCTTCTCGTACAAATTAAAACTATTTCATTTGTCAGTATTATTGTTATTATTATTATTATCTTGAATTAGGACTCTATTTCTGGAAAGAAGAGAGAATAAGTTACTGAACTTTTTCCTTTGGCTTTAGTTTTTTTATTCTCTTTAATATCCTTCAGATTTAGTTTGAACAAATATAAAAGAAAGATTGTACTTGTGATCAGTATTGGAGGACCTTTTCCAGAAACCACATAATTTTGCAATCAAGTTAAGAATAGTGGTCGTGCAAATGACTTCATTGGAACTTGTAGAGGAAGATCTACTTGGAGAAGACTATTATTGTTCATTAGCTTGTTTTCTCAGTTGGAATTGAAGTTAAACAACTTGCTCTTTGCGATAATGCAGATAGGAATGCCAATCTTGGGATCACATGCAACTTGTCGCTTCACGGTAATGCAGATAAAAGTGCTGATCTTGGGATCTACAATCATCACCATGAGGGCTGCAACAATTTGTATTAACGTTTGCTTTGCATTTGCTAATTGGCAGGAAGGAACAAATTGTATCCACCAGATTCTTTTTTGTTACATGTAATAAAACATGGACAAACAGGCCCCTTCAGGGTTACTGACGGAAATTATAATCTCTGTTGTAAAATTTTCTCAATGTATAGTGATTACAATTTTAAGATACTTCTCAAATAACCCTTGTTCTGCGTTACTCTTACGTTGTGTTTGGTTAGGGAATTTGAGAAGAGATTTGGAAATGGAAAAGAAAAATGTGTATGAAACTAGGTGAAATATAGTATATTTTATTCACATTTTACCTATCTTTTCTCTTTTCTTTTTCAAATCTCTTTTTAAATCTTTCAACCAAATACAGTGCTAGAGTTCTCTCTAGGGGAATGGATAACCATTGGAGATTGAAGTAGATGGATGCTGCTAAGTAGAGTTTTGATTTTCTAGTTCACTAATCAATTGAGACCTGCTTTATTAATTTTTATTACTACTTTATTTTTAAATATCTCAATTGGTACCACCCTATCACCACCCATGCCACCAAGCCATTGTTGCTTAATCACCCTTGACACTATCACGCTCCACCTTGTATGAGCATCCAGTTCGGTTTGGCTTTGCTTGGAACCACGATTTTCACAATATAATCACAATGTGCTCAAAATCAAATAATGTGTCATCATTTTACAAATAAAATTATTTAAATTATTATTTAGAACTAAGGCCTTGTTTGATAAGTAGTGATTTTAATCAAAAAAATAAAAAAGTCACCAAAAAAATAAAATCAACAACTTATACAAAAAAGTTAAAAATTTTATTTTCTCTTTATTTTTTACACATCTTTTCATAAAAAACTAAAAAGTCATCCTAAACATACTAGTTTTTTATAATTCCATTATTATACAAAAACACACTTGTAAATAAACAGTTAACTTATGAATATATATAGGATATTAATGAGAGATTAATTATCTATAAAAAATAATAAATTATATAGATAAACGGTCTGATACAGTTCCAAATTGAAACTATAACTATAAAATCATGCAGTTCTAAATTGGAACTACAACTACAAAATCATAGATCCCGTGTAGTACAATTTAACTATTTTAAGAACCAATGCATTGACAAAACCAAACAAAAAAAAATGCGATTTGGTGCGGATTAGATCAACGTGTGATTTTTTCAATTTTTTGTGCTAAGCCCAAGGTTGAGCAACACCCCCAACCCACTTGAGATTGGGCTTGTTTTGGGCCTGAATCCAATTGCAACCCGACCCACTCTTACATGAGCCATATTAGAGCATCTCCAATGGAGGCTCTATATCTTCAAATATAAAGAATTCTGTGAAAAAATTCACTTCAACCCATCCTCTATATCCTCCTCCATTTAGGATGGATGTTTCACCCTTCAAACCCTTCAAATTTGAAGGGAGGGAGTATGAAAAATAAAAAATCATCTCTATAACATTATCCATTCTATATTTATTTATTATATTACAAATAACTTTTAATACATATAAATTTAATTTTTATAAAATTGAAATCATTAAAAAGGGTTAAAAATGGTGAAATTATATCTTTAAAATGCATATAATATTAAATATATTTTACAAAAATTTCAAAATTAAATATTTATTAATGAACAAAAATTATTTACTTTTTAATGAAAATATTTTCAAGAGAAATCTTTAGAGAAAAAAATGATAATTAATGTTTAAGAAAAAATGTTCAACAAGTTAAAAAAAAATTACTGTTTAACCGATTGACTGGCCAAACTTTCGCGCGGACGTCCGGTGACACGCACTCGGAAAGAAAATAAAGGGAGTTGTAAAGATCTCTAGTTGAAGTTTGAATGAATAGTGATCTACTATTTATTTATTTTTTGAATAAAAAAAATTATGTTTGGTTTGAGTTTTTTGGATTAAGTTTTTTGAAAATTGAATTTTTTGGTTTTGTGTTTTTTTGTTTTTAGTGAATATTTTTTAAATTTTAAATATTTTTTTTACTTTTTTAGATACACCTTACTTAGATGTATTTAAAAAGTAAAAAATTTGTGAAAAAATATTTTAAAAAATTAATAAATACATAAAAATATAAAAAAATGTACTGAATTATTGTATTTTTTTTGTATTTTTGGTATTTGGTAAATTTTTAAAAGATTTTTTTTATAATTTTTTTATTTTTTAGATATATTTATATTAGGTGTGTCTAAAAAGTAAAAAAATTATTTAAAATATTAAAAAAATTCAATAAAAACAAAAAAAAAAACATGATAAACAAAAAAATAGAATTTTGTGAAAAGTGTTTTAGAAAACTGGAACCCAAGCAAGGTGAGAGGAGTGAGGATTGGGTTGGGGATGCTCTTAGGAAACCCTGTTAACTTTTCCAAAGCCCTCCTTCTGTGTCTCCTTCAATCTCTCACTTTCTTCTTAATTTTCTTTCCCTCCAAACACAAACCCACAAAATGGTTCGAAGCATCAAAAGCTCCAAGAAAGCCAAACGCAAAAACAAAGTTGGAATTCGTTTTTTCTGTTTCCCTTCTTTTGAATGCTTTACAGTTAGTTAAAGTTAGTTAATTAGGGTTTTTGTATACTTCGATTGCAGGGCTCAAAGAAAGGAGAGGGTTCTTCGTCTTCGGATTCGATACCTTCGTTGCCGGCTAAGGTATGGCAACCAGGTGTCGACAAGCTCGAAGAAGGAGAGGAGCTCCAATGCGATCCTTCTGCTTACAATTCACTCCATGCCTTTCACATTGGCTGGCCCTGTTTAAGGTTATATTGCAAATTTAAATATAAATTTTTGGATAGTTTGATGATTGGAGAAAATTGATTAGCATTTTTGGATGGTTTGATGAAGAATAATATATGATTCATGTGTTGTTTGTGATAATATGTTTGGGTACTTTGATTTGCTAATTTATTTGAATTTGGAAAAAATTGTGCAGCTTTGATGTGGTTTGTGATTCTCTGGGGTTGGTTCGGACTGAGTTTCCTCACACTGTGTATTGTGTTGCTGGCACTCAGGTGAGCTTCATTACTTGAATGCATTTCAATTCAAAGTTACAATCTTGATCATTTGAGAGTGTAGCCTTTTCTATTTAGACTTAAAAAAATTTCTTTTTGTGGTTATCATGAATATTGTGAACAAGAAAACGAAGCATATTTTGCCTTGTAAAATAATGGTTTCTTTATATGAAACCTTTGGCAGACTAAACCCGGCCCACATATGACATTAGTTTTTGAATAGCTTTTCCAAATGTTAAGAAGATTGGAAATTTACTCTCAATTTGTACGCTTTATCCCCCTAGTGGCTATCTCTGTTCATGCAGTTTCTCACTCAATTGGAGTCAAAGATACAAATTTCTTTGTTTTTTAGTGTTCGCTCAACAATGCAATGATATCTTTTTTATTTTTTATTTTTAAGTGTTATGGTAGTGACACACGTCATTACTCTTTGAATTTTCTACTAGAAAATCAAGTTAACTTGGTATATTTGTGCTTCCTTGTTGCTACATTTTCTAAGATTTGTCCAAGTGTGTATATCTATTAGGAAAATGTTATACAAACTAACAAATTTTACCAACTTTTCTTACTGATGTGGCATGTATTAATGAAACTTTGGTATCTGAAATTGGACTCACTACAATAACATGGTAGGTGCCACATCAGTGAGTAAGAAAAGTTTAAGATTTGTTAGTTATATAACATTAATCTATCTCTTACTAAATCAATAGACCAATTGATTTTGATATTTTGATATTTATTCGACAGGCAGAAAAAGCTTCCTGGAATTCAATTGGAATATTTAAACTTTCCAACATTTCAGGGAAAAGACGAGAATTAGTCCCATCAAAATCTACTACTAATGACTCTGATATGGACAGTGATAGTAGTGATAGTAATGAAGATGATGAAATTGAGGATGGTGGATCTGCTACACCAGTTTTGCAGGCAATGCAAATTCTCAAATGTGATTAACATTTCAATTGTTTTTTGACGCACTTCTATCATTTGTGCTCCACCCCAACTCTTTAAATCTATTTATCTTTTTTGCATCTACAGCTGCGCAAGTTAGTTCATGAAGGATGTGTTAATCGGATATGAGCCATGCCCCAAAATCCCCATACATGTGCATCTTGGGCAGACACTGGTCATGTGCAGGTCAGATTTATACAGTTGAGAATCTAGACTTGTTTTTTTCATGCCTTAAATGTAATTCTTGTTATTGCATGGAGTGCTTGCATATTCATAAATTCACGAGGCATAAAAAGGATGATTAATATAAGCTTTGGGTCAATGGTCAGCTTAGCTTTCTCATATGGGATCATGTGAATTAAACTAGATAGTAATATTTTTCTTCTTTTGTTCATCTTTCTGGGCATATTTTGGAATGACCTTGCTGCCAGGCAGTTAGTGGAAAATAGCGTGCAATTCTGTTGGGAATACAGGTAGCTTAGCAGTGTGTTGTGTCGTTGGTGTCTCTTGTGGCTTTTGTCATAATGCAATCTCAAGAGTTTCATAACTGCTTCATTCAAGAAGATGTACTTGCTAATTTGTAAGCCATGCGATGGGGCCTCAAAATCTACAAATGTCTATCAGCATAATTTTGATGTGGAACAACTTTGTTGCCCGAGCAAGCAACTGTGTAACAAATTGCAACATGCTAGTGATGAAAAACTCAAACATATTGCCTATTGGTGTGTCTGAAAGGGAGCAAATAGATTAAATGTATCAATTTTGAGATTGCAATGGAAGTAAGTTATTATATAATTAGTCTAGATATTGTACAATTAAAACACCAAATTTCCCTATTCTCATAAACTAATATGTGGAAGTAGGGCATATGTCGAGGCAATAAAAAAAGACATAATTGACTTAAGTTTTGACCAATGATATGCCTTTGAATCGAGTCAACTGGAGAAAATGGATACATTTAATAGTAGTTGACCACAAATAATCCGGATGAAGGCTTGTTTAGTTAAGTTGGGTTGTTTGAGAGAGAGGGGAGCAGCAGTGGGAGGAATGGAGTGATGATGCTATTTAAATGATTTGTTAGTTTATGGGTTTACCTGATTCCAGATTTAATAGAAGTAACTTGTATGTAGGTATGGGACTTCAGCTCTCATCTAAATGCTTTGACAGAATCAGAAACTGAAGTTAGCCGGGGAGCTTCCTCAGTTTCCAATCAGGCTCCATTAGTTAAG